ATCCCGAACTCCCTAACTATCCCTTCCCCTCACCAGTAGTCTGTTTCTGTTTTGTAAATAATTTCATTTGTATCATTTCTTTTTAGATCCTGCATATAAGAAATACCATATGATATTTCTCTTTCTCTGTCTGACTTACTTCACTCAGTATCACAATCTCTAGGTCCATCCATGTTGATGCAAATGGCATTATTTCATTCTTTTTAATGGCTGAGTAATATTCCATTGTATATATGTACCACATCTTCTTTATACATTCCTCTGTCGATAGACATTTAGGTTGCTCCTATGTCTTGGTTACTGTAAACAGTGCTGCAATGAACATTGGGGTGCATGTATACTTTTGGACCATGTTTTTCTCCAGATATGTGCCCAGGAGTGGGATTGCAGGATCACATGGTAGCTCTATTTTTAGTTTTTTAAGGAACCTCCATACTGTTCTCCATAGCGGCTATACCAATTTACATTCCCACCAACAGTGTAGGAGGGTTCCCTTCTCTCCACACCCTCTCCAGCCTTTGTTGTTTGTGGATTTTTTGATGATAGCTATTTTGACTTGTGTGAGATGATATCTCATTGTAGTTTTGATTTGCATTTCTCTAATAATTAGCAATGTTGCATATCTTTTCATGTACCTCTTGGCCATCTATTTATCTCCTTTGGAGAAATTTAGGTCTTCTGCCCATTTTTTGATTGGGTTGTTTGTTTTGATGATATTAAGACCCATGAGCTTTTTGTAAATTGTGGATGGGAGAGATTTTTTATATTTTCCTTTGGTTTTATATTTTTCCTATTTTCAAAATTTTCAATAAAATTTTTATTTACCTCATGAGGCTTTCTCAAGTATCTTGGTAGTTGAGAACTGATTTTCTGAATTGTAAGAGCAAAGAATAATAGTAAAAGTATTGGTTCTGAAGCCATACAGTTCTGAGTTCAAACTTGCCTCTGACACTCCTCAATTCGAATGCATCTTACATTAGGATCATCTTAGAATTACTGTGTGTATATAAGGCCATATTTCCTTCTCTCCCTGAAAAGCTATTGTTAAACCAATAGTGTTTTGGCTTTTGTTTTGAGTTTTTGGTGTTTGGGGCTTTCTTGGCCTTGCTTTGTTTTATTTTTACAACCTATAGTGTCTTAACATTTAGGAAATAGTAATTTGTGTAATGGTAAGCAATTTGTTTAACCTCCTTAAGTCACTGTTTCTTCATCCGTAAACCTATTTTACTCATGAACCTGTTCCTTAAAGTCAATATGAGAAATAAATAAAATAATGCATATAGGGTGCCTGGCATTGTGCCTGGCATGTACTGAATGATTTATACATGTTAGCCATTAATAATTTGTATCCACATTTTGCATTGAGAGGATGAAATATAAATAGATTCTCTTTCTCTGCAGTAAACCATAAAGTTGCTCCCAGAAGGGTCTACTGGAAGAGTCATTATCACTGACTTTTTTAAGGGAAACACATTAGACGATTAGAGATCTCAAATTTTGGCATTTATGTGTGAGTAGGGGGTTGCTGTATTGTCATGGCTATTTTGACAGGATGAGTAGAGTCCAGAGAAATTCACAGATCAGCCCCCTGGAGATCACCTGTGGAAATCATTTTGGGGGAAGTGACTTCTAGGCTGAGACCTCAAGGATGAGCAGGAGTTAGCTGGGTAAGCACAGAGGAGAAAGAGATCTGCAGGTACAGGAAGTACCAGGTCCTGAAGGTGAGAAAGAGCAGGGTGTGTTAGACACTAATCAGTGCTATTCATAAAGCTTTACTGTATCTACAAAACATACTGCGTATTTGACCATAAGTACTGAACACACTTCTTTCAAGATTTAGGGGATCATTCCTAAATCATAAACCCTCTCCTTTTTGAGATAAAGAAACCAAAGTTTAGAGATGAATGACAGGAAAGAGGGGGAGATAGAAGGTAACTAACATGGTGGGCACCCATTGTGTGTCAGACAAATGACATTATGCATATATAATAGATGAGGAGGCTGAGACATAAAGATGTTAATTAAGTCACTCAAAGCCATAGCTTTAACAAGAGCAGAGCCATACTTTTGTTTCCCTACATCTGTGTCTCTATTTCTGCCCTGCAAACTGGTTCATCTGTACCATTTTTCTAGGTTACACACAAACGTATGGACACCAAGGGGGGAAAGTGGCGGGGTGGTGGTGGTGGTGGTACGATGTATTGGGAGATTGGGACTGACATGTATACACTGATGTGTATAAAACTGATGACTAATAAGAACCAGCTGTATAAAAAATAAATGAAATAAAACTCAAAAAAACCAAACAAACAAGAGCAGAGCCAGAATTCAAACCCCAATCTACAGTCCCTCTAGAATCTAGGATCATTTTCACTACACTGCCTGGAACTTGTATGAGCTCATCCACATGTGAAATTATCCTCACAATGGCATTGTAATTGTTTATTTGTGTATCTATTTCTGCACTAGTCTGTAAACTTCTTGGGAATTGTTTTGTATTTGTAAGCGCATTTCCTGGAAGACAGATGAATCCAACAAGCTGTCAGATGACTGGATGGATAGATGGATGGACGCATGGATGGATGGATGGATGGATAAATGAGCATTTGAGAGATTACTTGAATGGATTTTTCCAAGGGTCTATCCAATTACCTTTCAAGTGAATTGTGATATTCTCAAACATATTTCTAAATTGAATTAATCATATACATTTTAAAAAGTTAATAAGAAATCTACCATAATTTTAAATTTAACAAATATAAGCTGAATGGTTCTGAATAAAGTAATAAGTGGCAGACTCATGAATAGAAGCCCTACATAGTGAGTTCCTTGCAGACACAGTCCATGGCCAATTCATCCCTTTGTCCCTATTATCTGGCCTCTGAACATATTTGGCAAACATATATTGAAAGTCTAATCAGTCAACAGTTCTGATTAGAGTCATGCATGACTGACCTTTTAAGTAACAGAAACAGTCCAATTCTGAAAATAACATTTTCTGGTGGACAAATAATTCTAGACTGATCCTTAAAGGAAGAGGAGAGGTAATGTTTTACCACACAAAATATCTACATTTACTATTTTCATAATACAATTCCAATGATGCTATCAGATGTCAAATTAAATGTAGATTATGGGCAGGAATGACATGAAAATATCTAACCACTGGTACATATAAGTACAAACTAGTCAGGACAGACATCATGACCCAGCAGAAGGATGCCTCAATAGGTAAGAACAGACACCAGTATAAATTACCAGTCAAATGCACTGTGTAGGGCATAAATAACAGCCCTGCTCATAGGTCCTTGGAGGTGAGGAGTAGAGAGAGATCGAAGAGGAAAGAGGACCACAGAACAGGCTCTAATGTGAGGACTTGTTTTGAGGAATAGGATAGAGCACAGTTTGCTAACCTCATAACCCATATCAGTCTTGTAGTAAGGCACAAGTGTTACTAAAAAGGCTGAGCAGAGATCAGATACTTGCATATTTGGTGCTGGATAACCCAAGTATTGACCTAGAGGTACTGACAAAGGATGGGATTCGTCCAGTGGTCTCTGGGGTTAAATAGAACCTGCAGGTGGAGATTACTCGGTTCAGCTGTGGGGAAAGGAGAAAACCACTCAGACTTCAAAATGAATATCATATGTGTTTGTAGGAGCAGGAACCTTTCCTCCCTCCTTTTGTTTCTCTTCTCTTTGAATTAGATAGCATCAGTTGCTATTGCTTGCAATCAAAGAATAACTGCTACATAAAATACTTTGCCTTATTCCTGACACAATATCCCTAGTAATTCTTTCTAAGCTCATTAGCTCTTTGAACAACCAACTGCTTACTCATTAGGTATTTCTACAGATGTTCATGTAATTTGTGGTTTAGCTCTAAAATATTTTGATGCAAGATACTGGACAAGAACAACTTGAGTAAGATTTAGCAGTATAAGTAACAGGCTTTTTCCCCATGATTTTATATTGAAGAAGCTATCATTGGTTACTGACTACTGCTAAGTTCCAACACTCTCTCTCCACAGCCCTTGGTTCATGTTACTTTTTCTCCTAGAAATGCCCTTCCTATCGTCTTCACCTGTAGAGAACATATTTATCTTCAAAAGGCTGATTTAAATATCAGCTCTGTGAAGCCTTCCCTATTTCCCAAGATAGAACTAATCGCTCCACATCTGTGATTCCTGGCAACGTCACCTTGGTTGGAGCAGTGCCCTGGTGTGCCTTGATGCAGATACCTGGACTCCTCGAAGAATTCATCTGAGGTTACGCAGGGCTACAACAAATGTTAAAAGTTATATCTGACTCATTGGTATAAAGATGAATATATTAATATTGTATACTAAAACATTTTCTTTGACCTAAAAGTTCATTTTTCTTTCTGCCAGTTTCAAAAGAGAGTAAAACATTTTCATTGACCTTTAAAAGTAGAGTGGACCCTTGGCACCGTGCCCACTTTGTCTAATGAGTAAGCTGTCCCTGTGTGTCTGTGCTCTCATTTAAACATTTTTCTCACTTATATAATCCACAGCCTAAAGGGGCCTCTCTGAAGGAAGATAGGTTTGGTTTCAGAATGTGGGGATAGAACCAAACTTGAGGTAAGGGTAAAATGATTCAGTCTTAGGGGGGTTCTCTTAAAGGAGGCTTATATATTTTTTCTAATTGAAAGATTCAAGTATATAATAATTCTTTTAAAAAAGATTTTGAAACCCATGGACAATTTGCTAATTAAAAATTTTCTCCAAAGAAAAAAAAAATTTAAGATAGAACCGGGGATACAACGGGCATTAGCAGTCATTGGTTTTGTTAGGGGACATACCAATTTAGAGCAATATTTGAATTAATCTGAAATAAAATAACTAGCCTTTGCATTATGCTTTATGACTTATAAAGCACTTTCACACATTTGATCTGCACAGCCAACCTAAAAGGTTGGTATCTTTTATTTTTAATTTGATAGGCAAGAAAAACAAGCCTCAGATGGATTAAATGACTTACCCAAGGTCACACAGCTGGTAGTGCAGAGTCTGGGACTCATGCCCAGTTTTTCTAATTCCAGAATCTCATATTCTTTCCACTACATCATGCTGCCTGTAGAAAAAGAGCATCTATGTAACACAAGCTTAAAAATATGGATCTCACACTTCTAAGTAGATTGATGTTCCTTTAGAAAATGTAACGGCATTTCTGGAGACGTAATTGTGTTGTGGGTTTGGTTCTAAAACATTTTAACAAAAGATGATTGACAAAATTTAGTTTCGATGAAAGTCAAAATTAACTGAACAATATATTGAACTTACATGAAATCTTATGGACAGTGAACTTTGGTCAAAATTATGATTAAATATGTCAGGAATGTATAGGTAAGTATATTTTTTATTTCAAATTCCACATCTTTGTTCTTTGGGTTGTTAGATTTATTTTTTCTTCCTTTCTCTTCTCAGTCACTTAAGCCTCCCCTTGGAGATGGACTCCTTTCATACCCTCTTTTGGTAAACCTAAAACAGACTTGATTGTGAGAGTTATCTTTTATCAACTCCTTTGCTCCTGAAAGGGGTAATTTCTTCACAAAGGAAACAAATGGAAGGAAGGAAGGAAATGGCATTGAACAAGTCTGATCTTGAAAAAGGCAAAATTCTGCAAAGCATGAAGACTAACTCACATATTATCTGGAAAAAAAGGGGGGGTGTTAAAATTAGTCAGCAATTCACTTTTCACAAGAAAACTGGGCAAAACAAAGAATGAGATTTCAGAAGGACATGTTGACCCAATGCCATACAATACACAAATTGACTCTTTCAATCATAAATCCAGTAGTTTCACAGTTCTAGGAACTAGTCTAGCTGAAAAGAAATTATATTAAGCCAAGTCTGCAAGGTCAGGCAGTGAATAATTGAATGATTGAATGTGAATATGTCATTTTGATTACCCACAGAAGAAGGATCAGGAAATAGCGATTAAGATTTTTCTGGAATGCATTTCTGAAGTTTAAAAATATTTTTGTGTTATTTTATTCAGAAATAAAAGTCCAATTGATTTCACAAATGTCTTGATTTTACATGTCTTACTACTTGTTATTCTCTTCATTTGCAGTAATGAATACAAATAATTATACTGTACGTTTTTAAAATACACAACCTAATTTCATCTTACATTCTACATTCGTCAACTTTTTGGTCTCTGGGTCACAAAACAGAATGTATAATTAAGGTGCAGCCTCATGAAGTTAGCACTGCACAGATTGCTTTATCTATAGCAGACATCTAACCAGAAAGCCAGCAACTCACCCAAATTTGCATTACAACCCGGCTCAATGCAGCAATGAAGTACTTGAAGCAACGTCTGCACAGTGTGTGTTTCTGGTACTCAGGCAATTATTGCCATAGTAGTGAATTTATTTGGAAACCTAAGAACAATATTTGCCCCCCCCACATTTTACTGATTGCTACATGGAATTGTCCCCAAAATTTGAACAAACATTATTGGAACTAAGAGGAAACAGTTAATATAGATGGAATACTTCACAGAGCAGATGGGCTTTGGGGTTACTTTCAATAACGATTTTATGGAAGGCTGCTATGGGTCAGGCATGTGTCAAGCACTAGGGATACAGGATGAAAAAGACATAACCCCTAACCTTAAAGAGCTCAGAGGGACTATCTTTATCTTATCTCCAAAATATAGCACACTGATTGGCACATACTAGATGCTCAATAAATCTTGGGTGAATCCCTGGAAGGCCTGATTATTATTGCAAAAAGCCTGCTGCAATCACAGATAAATACACAACAGAAGCTCCAAGACAGAGGGTTAGAGGGAATAAAAGAAGGAGTCACGAATGAAATGAAAAGGATAATAATAGGTGTGGCTGGTATTAGACAACATGGAAGAGAAATGTGGTGTGAAAAAAAATTAATCTTAAAGTGAAAAATGTAAGTGAATTTTATCAGAAAGGAAAAGAGAAGCTACACACTAGAAAACCAAAATATGTACAATAAAAAATTTATACTAGAAAACCAAAAGTTACTTTGAAACCAAAAAGAACTTCATTGATAAATATACAATTTTATGTCAACTTAAAGTATAAATTTTAAAACAAATTTTGGAGACTTTAATCATGACTTGCCATTTACAAAATCATCGTTTTAAACCTTCAATTTTTTTCAACCATTTGACTTCCTATGCTAAATAATAATAGATTGTTAACCATTATTTTTCCATAGTATTCCTTATTTTTTTAAATTTGTTTTGAAATGTAGGAAAAGAATGTTGTACTATAGATTTGGTGATGGAAATTGTCAAAAATAAAATTAGTAAAGGGCAACTTTAGGAAAAACTAGCACTCACATAATTTACAGTTACCCCACAAAATTCTTAATTTTTTTTCAATTTTACTTTTAATAAAATTATACAGAGCAATAACTGGTAATGATTTCCATAAGTCTAGTGAAAATAAATTTTTCATCTTCACAATGCACTTTTCATCCATGTAAATTAATGGGACTGGAATCAGAAATTTAAGGAAGTCATCAACTTGACTTGTTGAAATTTGCCAGGGTTCAGGGAGCAATTGGCAAATCAGACAAAGCACTGAAGGCAAGAATTTGATATTTCAGATCTCAGTGCCATTTTGGCTATGGGAGGTTTTTGAACTGGAAAACATGATAAATCTTGAAAGAACAATTTCCACCTAGGCTTTATGAAGATAGGCACTGTTGACAAATTAATATATGATTTTGACAAAGATATCTTCATTCTTATGGCTAAAATATGGCCAACTATTAAGGAGTTATCTGCTGCTAAGACAGTTCTTAGTCTTTGTGAGTCTTTGTTACACCGACAGAGACTTTTTTAGTCTAAAAGACCAACAATGTTCAAAACATTTTCAAGTAAGTCCTGACTTCCCAATAAGATATATTTATGCTTTCTTTATGCTGTAAAGTAATGCAGGCATGACCCACTTTCTCCCAAAGACCTGCATAATACTAAATACATTTATTTAATTTAAAATTTTTTAATTAACCAAAATATTCTGAATTACAAAAGACAAATTTGACCTGCTCAGTGATATTGTTTAGTGATAAATGGTTTACATTTTATTTACTATTATATAATTTGGTCTTCCAACTGCTTAGCTACTTAGACATTAGTCAGGTAAGACTTACAGTGTCTCAAGCATTTCACAGAATAATATATGAATTTTTCAGATTATTGAAATAAAATATAGATTTGCTTTAAATCTATACCTACTCTTTTCTTGTGAAAGCTAGTGACAAAATACATATGCCAGTAGCATAATATTGCAGCCAAATTGTTAAGAAAATCTGGCCAAGTTTGATTCTATTCAAGAACAAAGTTTCATTTTCAAAAAATATAATGGCAATTATCAAAATTATTAAAACGTCCTATACACACATTAAAGCAGTTTTACTCTACTTTAAAAAAAAAAAGATCCAGACCTATCAATTCATTCTGAAAATAAAGGGATTAATTCCATTAGAAACAAAAAGAGCAGTACCTGAAACAAGGACCCTTCCACTGGAAGCAAAGCAAGTTGTTTTCCATGGTACTGGGAAGAGAGTACAAGAAGATGCCAATGTTCTGAAGATAAGAAGGGAAGTCTACCCAAGAACAAATGACCTGCAGAATCATCCTCCCAATACACACTCAAAATAATGTTTGACCATGTCTGGGCATCTCATGGCCCAGGCAAATTGACATATAAAATTAATCATCACAAGTGACATCTTTAAAGTACTGAAAGAAAATTCTGTTTTTCAAGGAAAATGTTCTTTATAAGTTACCCCAAAATTCATTTTCAGACAAACAAAAAATTAAAGATTTAATTTCCAGTAAACCACACTAAAAGAAGTACTGAAGGAAGTTCTTCAGGCATAAGAAAAATAATCCCAGATTAAAAGTATGAAAATTCAGGGAAGAAAAAAAAGTCATAAAAAGGGGAAATTTGTTGATAAATCTAAGTTAATATTGAATAATTTAAAAATATTTTCTGGGGCCTAAATACATAACAGCATTTGCCCAAAAAAAAAATTAGGCTCTAATATGTCAAGGATGCATGTTATAACCTCTAGAGTAACTATGAAAAGAATGAAAAAGAATGGGCACACAGCTAATAGCTGAGGGAGAACAGAATGCTGATTAATGAATGAATAAAAGAGTGAATGAATTGCAATTTCTTGTCAACAATAAAACAAAAAAGAGAGAGAGGAAAAGGAAGCTAGATCAGGGAGAAAATGAGAAAACAACACTAATGTAGTAAATTTAAGCTCAAATATGCCACTATTTGCATTAGAGTTAAATTGACTAAATATTCTAATTAAAGGACAGAGTGGATTTTTTCAAATAAGAGCTATAACTTAAGTATAAGGACATAAAAATATTGAAACTAAAAGAATGGGAAAGTTATCACAAACAAAACAATAAAAAAAAAACTGTAATAGCTATGATAATTAGACAAATAGGCCTCAAGGCAAGAAGCATTCCTAGAGATAGAGTGCTCCTACTGTTAAAAGTGACGACTGACAAGAAATATATAAAAAAGCTAAATTTGTATGTATCAAATAACATAGCTTCAAAATATAGAAACAAAAATTTTCAGAACTAAAAGGAGAATAAAACAAATCCACAGAGTGTGATACTTAAACACCACTCTCTTAGTTACTAATAGAATAATTGTGGGAAAGTATTAATAGAGACAGAGGAGATTTGAACAACACAATAAATTTGACCTAATTGACATATTTAAAGCATTGGATTCAACAAATAAAAATATACATGTTTTTGATGTGCACATCAAACATGCAAAATTGACGCTATGCTGGGCCATATAGCAAACCACAGTAATGTTCTCTGACTACAGTGGAATTAAGCAAGAAATGAATAAAAAAATAAAAACTATTAAACCCGAAACTATTTATTATCTCTAAAACTTCTAAATAACTAGTGGGTCAAAGAAGAAATCACAGTAAGTATTAGATAATATTTTAAACTACATGATAATTAAAATGAAATGTATCAAAAATATGTGAAATGCATTAAAGCAATTATTAGAGGAAATTTTATAGCCTTAA